ATGTATTAAATTATAAAGTAAATTTGTCTGGCACATGAATTATGTATAAGAAATTTTTGGACGAACCACTTATACTAGTTTAGGAGCCATCTTGAAATTGGAAAATTTAAAATTAAAAAAATAAATTAATTACAATTGTATGTTACAATTATTACACACATTTGTACACTATTATATATGTTCTAAAATTTACTTTGTTTTAATACGATTTTTAACATTTTTGGTTCAAAATTTAATAGTAAATTTTGTAACAATTGCCGTCATTAGAACCGCCTGAAATTCGGTATTATTACGATTGAAGCAATTTTGAAGAAAGCATCAGATGATAATCACAGGATTTCCTCTGTAGTTAATGTAAATCCGTCGAGTTTAAACTCGTTAGATCCGTCATAATGAGCAGATGGCTGATAGATAATAATCAATGGTGAAGAATAGGGTAAAATGGGAATCACTTAATCGGAAATTCAAATAACAGCTGATTTAATATAGAAATATTTCTTGTAACAGCTTAATAACAATGTTACTTATTAATCTATAATTTCAAATCAGTTTTAATAATTTTGGTACTGAACTTTGTCAATAAGAAAGCGTTTACAAAAAGTAGATGTGAATCCAATTGTACTGAGATTGCGATATTTTATACTTTAGTGATCATAGTAGGAAAAAACAGCTGGTAATCACACTGTACTGCAGATATCTCGAGACTACGACTCGTGCCACCTAGTCGAAACGTCGAGAGGTAAATACCCGTCCACTACAAAGATATTCGTATAAAGACTCGATTAACTATATTAGTAACGCATAAAATCTTGTTATTTTGTGTATGACTTTTTTATCAGGCAAATTTTATACATATATTACATACTTTATATAATCAGTCAACAAGAAACGTATCCGATGTTTGACGAATTAATTTTCACAGATTTCTCTCATTTTTAAACGTAGATGGGTATTCTATTTTATCTGAATTTAATAAAAATTGTTTATTTGTTTTTCTATTACGAACTTACTTAACTTCTTCAGTATTCTATGATGAGCGAGTATTTCGTTACATTACATTTCATAAAAAGCGAATCTTCCCATCATAACTTTACCCACTTTCGTGACACCTTACCGTAAAGGTATATAATATACAAAAGAAATAAAAGGCTATGTTTGTAATATCTTCATTTTAGTACAGAATGGGACATAAAAGACATCATCGTAAGAGAGAAGTGGATAATAAAATTATTCATATGTACGACTCCGCAATGCAGATAATGGCAGTAACCAGAGCAGAGCGCTCCCTTGATTGCTGTTGAAAGCTTATTTTTAAAGATCTTTTTGTTCTCAGTTAATATTTATTTTATCTATCGATCTTATATAGCTTACCTACTGTTGCACAAAAACGTAGTAATAACATGCTCTGTGGTTCTACAAAATGAATGGTAAGATATTATCTTAAATTTTTAATTGTGCATTTGCTAGTACAATAAGTTGATAATATCACACTGAAGATTTGAAGCGGTGTAACTTAATATTTCTATAGTCAGAGCATTTTTAATTATCCCGAATATTGGTGAACGCGGCACTTGACATTTCGCTGCGTATATTTGAATCCAAAGTAGCAATGGCCAACCCTACGGCCGTCTCTTGAATTAATTTTTGACTTTGTTATCCGTATTTCCTTTAGCGGAGAGTCAGTTTTTGCCTCTGACTTACCTAGGTCAGGTACACCACCTAGGTCTAATCTAGATACCTATCTAGGATAGCAGTCACGAAGTTATATTATTATTAATATCATAGTATTTTTTAATTAGGCATAAGACTTATTAAATATGTATTCTTTATTTTTCCAATTCTACTTATTATAAAACTTTGTGTAATATAATACGGACTTTATGGGCGGAAACGGTCAATGATGAAAGGATGACCTACATAAACATAATTAGCTATTATCAAATATCAAACCAACAATGGAGTGTTAATGGATTTTATGATAGTATACATTACCCTATTATGTAACTCTTATAAATTGATCCTATACAAATTAAATGAAAGAGTTCACCATATAATCCGCAACAATACATATCAAATAGAATATACCCAAAGGAATAAAATTGATAACGAATATGCACAATAGTCCGTTGACTAAAGACATTATCCGTAGGAGAGAAAGATGGTCCCACCTCGCTATAAACATAAGTTTATGTTCCGCAAAGAACGACTATAAAGTTACATTATATTGCGCATAAATTTCTTCATGGATTTTAAATATAACGTAGTACATTTTCAGGTACTATAATAATTCTGCCACTTTGTTCGATAAATTTATTTAAGCTTGCTTTATCGCAAAGACGTGCCAGAAAGTACAATTGAGACTTTTAATATTATAATGATAATTTTAGATGAAATTTGGTTATAATAATTATTATCTTTAAAATATTATAAAGCAGTTGGCTGTGGCTTAGAAACCGAGCGAAAAGGAATCAGTTCTTAAATCGACTATATTTTGGTGTCTTGGCAAATTATGATATATCTAAGTTTCTTTTTTGAAAGAATTTTCATTTAACGTGATCGATGATTCTATACTTTTTCGTTTTTACGTAATAACGTTTTTACGTTTTAAGTAATTTTTCAGTAAAATGTACTATTTATAATCATTACATTAAAGAAATGATGTTAATTACCAGTTATACTTCTCGTGTCTTAAATTAAATAAAATACATTTTTTAATCTTAAAAATGGCAACATTTTGATATTCTAGTCACGTTCGTCAATAGAATATCTATACAATACTAATATTGTAAAGAGGAAATTCTAATGTTTTGTATCTTTTTTTGTTCATGCAGATAAACACAAAAAAACTGTTGATATATTACAAAACAGTCATTCATTTGAACAAGTAAAATATACATACTTGCGTACAAATAAAATATCATTTATATCCGTTATTATGTCACAAGTGTACTTACCAAACCTAGTAAGAGATAGGACATACAAAGCGACGTGTATTTTCGTGGAAATGTTAGATTATACATACATTTATGTATCTACTTATGACCGTTGCTTCTTTTGTTTTCATAGATAAGTAGTATATAGGGAGTTAAGTCACGCGCAATCAATTTATTATGGTTCAGTATCCAGATGGCAAAAAACGCAACCCTTAAACCAATTTCAACGAAAGATGTCTGACTGTCAATATGGTACAGTATCATAATGTTTGTTGGATTGTTCTGAAACATTGCTCGAAAATAAGAGTATCTAATAGATAATTATAAATAACAGTATCGTATTTTTACCCTAATAGGTTATTACCTAATAACCTTGAAATGGTTGTTTATTATCAAAACAGAAAAATATATATTATTAATAACAACACAGACTTAGTGAAGATATCATTCTAAATTACATAACATCTCTCACAGTTAAATATTAATGGAAATTCACAATTGTAAACAACTCTACAATGCTACATTAATATATTAAAAGATCTAAGACAAGACACTGAATTTTTAATTAGCTTTTAATACAAAAAATGCTCAATTGGATTGTATATTTTAAGTTACTTTTACTTTTTATGCGATTTTTTTTAAATCAATGGATTAGTATTATTATTATTCTCTAGTTATCGTTATACTAACTTTATTTATCACTAGCTGTTCCCGCGACTTACGTGTCACATCTGCGTGGAATTTAGCTTTATTTTTCTAAAATAAAAGTAGTTTAAGTCACTCCTTATTACATCAGCTACCTGCCAAAAAAATCCCGTCAAAATCGGTCCAGCCATTTCAAAGATTAGCCGGAACAAACAGACTGAAAGACAGACACACAAAAATTGTAAAAAATGTTATTTTGGTGTATGTACCGTATTTATATTCACATGCACGTAGTAAAAAACGGTTATTTCATTATTACAAATAGACACTCCAATTTAGTATAGATGATACATACAAGCAATAAATACATTGTTTTTATATATTTATTTCAATTAAGATTGGCTTAAATCTATACATCATTAGTAGGCAGGTATACACAGTAGGTGGAGAAAATCAAATCCATCGATATCCTTAACACACAAAAACTCCGACCAGAATAGAACTTACGACATATTCTTTCTAGGCAGTCGTCTAGGTTTTTCTTATTTCAAATAATAATACAACTATTTTTCTCATGAACAATACTGATCATTATAAGAACATCGACAAGATTTAACAATTCGTGTATGTAGTAGGTACCTCGATAATGAACCTTTATTAACCATATTAACGTTGCCTAAATACATTATTGAAAATCGCTGGACATATACGAATTATTTTGCGTATGTAAACAAAATATAAGCGTATTCACAAAATAAAGTTAAGCTAAATACCACTTTACAAATTTTATGACCGTAAAATCGCATTCTGTATTGTTAAAGTAAAACCACAGGGTAATTTAATGCGGTCGGTTACATTGTGGTGCTCTGTGATATAGCAGGTACATGCTGCAAAATGAGTGGAGGAATTAATTATGGATTGAAATTGATAGTTATGTACTAAAATTAAATTTGATTTAATGTTGTATTTATGACTAACCAACCAACCAACGAGCGGTATTCCATTTTTGGTTCCAAAAGGTTATGCGGATATCGCCGTGTGGTATGGGTGAATTTGGATAAAAGTATTGTACGTGTTAATCTAGGATATGGACTAAAATTTATGCGAATCGGTCCAGTAGTTTTTGCATGAATTGTATCAAAATAATTATGGATAATTAGATGGAGGATTTATTTGTACTGAAAAATTATTAGATTTGCCTATATTTGATAGCATTTACAACCCCATTACTTCCCCGCAAGAGGAACACCTTAGCCGATTACCACTGCAACATTTATTTAAACATAAAATATATTTATGATTTTACTCTCTGTTTTGTGAATTATATAATCTATAGTATATACAAACTAATTAGCATAATAAATTAATGCATACTAAGTGTTTTTCTTTAAAAATTAATAATATTTTTTATTATTGTTTCAGATATTTGACAACCACTATCACTTTCATCACAACTCTGTAGCCAAGCGGTCCATCTCAGCCGCCCACGAACATCATGACAGGCTGGAGGGAGACACAAGAGTGCGGTGGGCGAAACAACAGCGCGCTCTCTCTAGAAAAAAAAGAGATTTTATACCTTTACACGATTTTTCTTCCACAGGTAATATTAGGATTCATTTTATAATAAATACTAAATTAAATATCTAGTATGTAAAATATACATATTTGATATTATGATAATATTATCATTGTGATAATTCTTGTTTGTCAATTATAGTATAATACTTGTAATATGTATCTGTTTTTTTTATTTTACTTTTTGTATACATGAAACAGCGGCAATTCATTGCTACATAACCAAATCAATTTTAATCCTTTTTAACATTACTGAATAATTTTAACAGCTGAAACAAAAACATCTGACGTGCCTTCGCCATCGTCTGCTACCAAACGCGACGCTGGCTCCAAAAGAGATCTTCTACAGTCGCGTGTTAAAGGGCGGCCGCGACTTGCTGACTCAAAGTTCCTACTTAATGACCCCAAATGGCCCCATATGTGGTATTTGGTAAGTATATATAATTATGATAATAGTTTGAAAGTATTAGTCCATAAGTATACCTGAAAAAAGGAAGATGTTTAAATTATAATAATAAATTTTTTGCCATATATTATTGCTATTAATATATATTTCAAATAGTTATATAGTGCATTCATTAAATATATATAAACACAATTGCTACTAAAAATATATATATAGCGGCTTACCTACTTGCTTATTCCAATTACATGGACAATTTAAATTATTAGAATAAAGAAAAAAACAAATTGGTTTCTTGATTTCTCTGACATCCAATTTTAATTTTCATAAAAAAAATATGAAACAGGCGTTTATGAAGAGGGATAAAGTAATACAATGTAAGCACTCATTTTAGATCGCTTTGTTTTCTTTTAATGGTTTCATCTAAACCCTCCTGAAGTTTAATTTTCTTTTCGAAAAGTTCATCTTGCTCCTCGTAAAATATTGACGAGAGTAAAGCCAAAAATTTTCTTTTCACTCGGAATATTACGTAATTTTCTCGAATGTTAATTTTCCAGTCGCTTTTAGTAGTCAAGTGAAAATTCTTGAATTTTTCATTAGAATTGATATTTTGCTTGTTAAAGTTTTGTTTCGTAAATTAAGTTAGAACCCGAAGGCTTGTTCGTAAATTAGTCTGAAAATTCTGATATCATATTTTTAAGTGACTTTGGAAAAGAGGCGGTATTTTTAGCTATATTTATATTAAGTTTATACATCTGTGTTTATAGTAATTAATTTAGCGCAAATATTTATAAAATTATAAAGCGTAAATTAATTTAAACTAATTTGTGGGTTGTTTGTTTCTCATAAAAGGGGACAAATCCGGCAAACCTAGTTTAGTATCAGGTAATTGGGATAATGATTTGACTGACAAGTTTCTGGAACCCTTAATTTGCTGTGACCTTTTCATGGCATTTAACTCACACGTGATAAAAATAATTACAGTCATTCGAATGCGTACAAATTTAAATAAATTTATTTTTAAACTGATATTTATAAATGTTGAAAACAACCGCATTAATTAATAATTAAGCCCGTATGCTTAATTATAAACAAGAGTGTTTTATTTTGAGGGGATTTAATCCATTACCATCAGATGAGGTAGGGTAGGTTGATCAGTGGATTCCAGAACAAAAAAAATTACAAGGACTTTGAAGAAGTTTTTTCATTGAGGCATCGAAGTTTACGACGACCTTCTACAATTTAAAGCAAAAAAAATGTGCTGCCTCATATCATGTACGCACTCGGTCAAAGAAAGTAAACCTGGCGACAAATAATAATTTATCTAAGGCAAATATTTTTTATGATTCTTTTTACTATTGATAGGGCCCAGCTATCTATGAATATTGCCAGAAGTTTTTAGTAAAATTTATTATTCATAACCAATTTACTTTGAAATCAATTGTCCGATTTCAGCAACCATATATATTACACAAAGCAATTTCATGTCGACGTTGTTGCCGTTATTTCATTTCGTTTCGCTGGCGTAGCAAATATTTTTGCAATTTTCATATACCTTTCATTACAAAAGGGGTCCAATTTTATTAAAACTAGTGCTGAAATAGGTATCCGTAGATCGAAATAATTTTCTACAAATTCTTTCAATAATATATATATATATATATATACCTCTGAATATATTTATACCAAAAATAATCTATAATGTTAGCAATGTGATTTTGTATTTCATCAATTAAAGATAAAAATTACTGATAAGAATTGATTTTCAGAATCGTGGTGGCGGTTTAGACATGAACGTGATACCGGCGTGGCGGGAAGGCATCACAGGTCGTGGTGTGGTCGTCACCATCCTGGATGACGGATTAGAGACTGACCATCCGGACTTAGTCGCAAATTATGTGAGTATACAAAAAGTACTATTTACATAACAAAGACTTAAATTTTAAAATCGCACCAAACCGGTGAATGTTCAAGAGACTGACAGTATTGCTTCGTTGAATTACATATTTATTAGTACTGACTATGTGAGTTCGGATAGAAAGTATCCTAAATGTGAATCTAAGATGAGATATATGTCGTGGTTGCGTCAATGTAACTATCAAATAATTAATTATTATATGCTATGGTAACTCATTCACCCACATACAAGAAAGAATACCCCTTTCAATCCGTTGTTTTTAATAGGTTACTTAGATTATACTCGTATTAGTTCTCATAGCACCAAATATCCATTTGCTTACGTACTCGTATATCTAAATTCAATCTAATACGTTTCTAATACATATTATTACGCCAATATTAGATTTTAAAGATTATTTTACTGCAACATTGATACTATTAGTTTATACCACTTTATCATATTACCAAACAAGTATGATAGATAAAGATTTTTAAAAATCCTACTATCTATATTAGATAGATGAGAATTAGGTCTGAGATAGATGATCTATCTATCTCAGACCTAATTCTGATCGACTAATTAATAATAATAATATACCTTCACGACTGTTAATCCCTGATGGGGTAGTCAGAGGCATTGTCAGCTGTGTCGATATTATATTATAGAGAACGCGACAAGCAAGTGTGCTATGTTCACATTTCGCTAGGTCCCATGCCATATCCAATGTACCATACATTTGAATATAAAGTGGAATGGGACAAATGAATCGCCGTCTCTCGGATTAATTTGGTTTGATATTAGTGTTTCCATTACCGGCAAATTAGTCAGAAATTGTTTTGGACACATAGGTCTAATGGATCCAAGTTAAAGTTGTAAACTACTGAGTCATGAAAGTAAATGAATAAATAAATATAAATTCTATATGTGATCATCTCTTTGTATGTGTCATGAGTAATTTTGGCAAAACGTTTCGCTAAGCACGGTTTAATGGAACACTTAATGGAATCGCATACATTATCTCGGGAAACAACGATAAACGAACTGGGCCGAGTGGTTGAATGGATAGTATGTGTTGAAACCTCGTAGCGACATCTACGAATAAAAGCGAGCTTCAGATTACACGATTCACTTTTGCAGCCTTTAATTTTCACTGTTGATGTTCGGAAAAATGGGTAATTGGGTCGCGGTTAGGGTTGCCAAGTGTTTCGATTTAATCGGGGTGTCCCGATTTTAAAACTGCGTGCCGTGTCCTAGCAAAGAGACTGGCGGGACGCCAATAGTCACAATCTGCAACATATACATTTTTATATTCGGATGTCGGACTCGGTGCTTTAGTGGTTAAGTATAACGCTTTTCTTCGTATGGTCGCGATTTTGATACTCGCACGATACAATTATTTGTTTAGCATTCATATTTCAGGTATTCAGTATAGTAGTTTGTATTTCTGGGTATGTATATATTTAGAAATATCTGAGGTGTAAATACCTCAGATGTTTCTAAATACATACATACCCATATACATACATACCATAGCTATATAGTACAGTTATTTAGTATCTATAATACATGCTTAGATTAGATTCTGGGTTATTATACGATTGAACTTACTGAGTAACCTTACTAGTATAGATTCGTAAAGTCACAAAAATATTAGTAACGTTTTTTAAAATCCGAAATTCCTATTCGAATGACATCCCGAAAAATTTGTTCTAAGATTTGGGTAGCCTTTTCGCGGGCTACCCTCCTTTACTGTATTGCGAAACAGAGTTGGCGCTTTCCTTTCATCTTTAAGTGGGACCTAGTAGGTATCTCGACATACTTATATTTTACATAATTTAATTACGGTTGTATAATAAGCTTTGAGTTGGACCTTGAGAAAGGATTTTATACAGACACAAAAGGAATTTAATTATTATACAGTGTATTAAAAGTGTAGTAAGTTTTCGCAATTTAATATTGAGAAAATTTTCATCATTACTATAGCGGGTTGCTTTTGAATGTATTGTATATTTAAGGTGAGTGTACTTCTTTACATACTTCAATAATAAAATACCGCTTTACTAGTTCACTCAATTAGTGAACAATAAATACATAAATTATTCTGGCATAACAAAACTTGTAGATAATTAATAGCGGCCATTAGTGGCCCACCCAGGCATCGATAGGGTTCTTATACCATAACTTTCTGAGTTTCGTATAATTATGTTAATATATAAAATATAGCCTATCTTACTCTGGAATAATGTACGAAATAATTTAGATTTATTTCCAGTTAATGTAGAGATCTCTATTTTTTTTAATAATTACGCATCTGACGACGAATTTTATAATCCATAAAAAATAAACACAATAAGAACCGGTTACTATGATATTTTAAACAAAATTTAATGAATGATTAAAACTAAAAAAGTAATAATTTGTTAATCCAAAAATTTATATATATTTATAAATGTTCTTTATATGTGTGTAGGTGACTTAAATAAAATAAAATTAGTTTAATCAAAATTATAAAACCAAATAACAGTACCAAGAGATCTGATAAGTCCTCTCAGAGCCACTTCTTTCCGCATCTCCTTTAATTGAGATCTTCTATCTTAGCTACCGACACTAGATATCATCCGTTTGTCACCGTCTACCATTAATTAAGTAAATTTATATTGTCGATCAACGTTCGAGATTTCATTTGTCAAGTTAGGAGTAGCGTAGATAATGATTATATTGTTTCATTTCCTTAGTAGATATTGTTTTAAGAAAACGAATGATTATCACTTATTATTTTTAAATGGTTTGAAAAGTTAAATATAGAATTCACTGTTTCGCACTTTTCTTTATATATATATATAAGGATTATCACAAATGAGTACAAATGCACAAAGTACAAAAGAATAAGTTCAAGAATCCAAAGATAAAACGAAGAAAGGTACCTTTACAGAGATTTTTAATGGGTCTGCTCTCAAGTTCCCAATTTAAATATTACTTCTGTCCGTACAGCACAGACATGCTGTGACATCACTAATTATGTAGATATGAAATTTTAGTACAACATGAACGCGAATACGTTGTGGTTTATAGTTAGGTACATAATCTGATTGACATATCAATTGCACAGCTCAAACCATTTGTAAATTGAAATTTATGCATTTGAAATTGAAAGCCCGTAAATTTTCGGGAACTTTTGTAATTTGTTAATAAATGTGTCATTTATATAGCTATCTGCCCGATGTCATAACATCATAACTCGTGGAAGTGAATCTGATCCTTGTGAAACTTTATATGAAATTCATTTACATTTAATTTTATTTTTATATTTGTTTAGAGTCATACTTGTAATTGTAAAATATTAATCATATTTAACGTCATAACACGATGAAGCTGTATAATGTTTTTATACCTAGCATTTAAATAAAACGGCCTCTGAATATTTTTTTACTTTCTATTATATTTTTTGCTGTATTATCTTTTATTTTTGTAAATATAGATAATCAATTATTCAAATAAATTTAATTTAAACACTTTTGAATAGTAATAACAATTTTTTTTTCTAAAATAATTTTGTACAATAAATTAATTTCCTACTATATTTTTTATTATGCATATTTCTACATGATGTAACTTGATTCAATACTAATAATAACTAAGTACTTAATATATGATTACAAAAATAATACACAGATCTAGTAGTCAGATGCAATGTCAACTTTTTCTATGATTTGAAATGAACTGCAGAAACAAAACGGTTTCCAGACAGTGTGAAAAGTCAAATCTAGCGCTAGTTTATAATGGAGTTTCAGCCGAGAAAAAGTGTCAGAAATTATGATGTTTCTTTTAAAAAGAAATTGTTACGTAGCCTTAAATTCATGAAACATAATTTTGAATGATATTTTTTATACCACTATACCGCGAACAAGCAATCAATTGTACATACATACATAATGTTGACTTAGAATCCCATATTGCCTTTTAATAGTCAGTGTTTCAAATAACTTTCATTTAACAGGATCCAATGGCATCGTACGATGTGAACTCCCATGATTCGAACCCGCAGCCACGGTACGACACAATCGACTCTAACCGCCACGGGACCAGGTGTGCTGGTGAAGTAGCAGCGACTGCTAACAATTCATTATGTGCAGTAGGTGTTGCATTCGGTGCTAGTGTTGGAGGTAATTATATAAATACTAGCAATCTGTCTCGACTTTGCACGGTAACATTTTTTGTAGGACACTTTTTTTAATATATTTTATATGTAAGGTAGAGAAAAGATATTAATCCAAAAAACTTGAGCAAGGCCTACAGGAATAAATGTTTTTTTTTTGTTTTAAGTAATATTTGATTTTATCAATTACATACAAAATGTCTTCCTATTTGTAATATTAATATAAAAAAAACTAATATTGAATGTACATATGTCGTATAATGTAGGAATACATTAATTACATTCATAACTGTTACAGAGTAACTGCATAATACAAACTGCAGCTGTTATCTACATATTTGACTAATTCTTTTGCTGTCAAGCATACGGCCAAGTGATGGAAAATGGTTACCGAATTTGTGATTTTTGGGCATGTATTTGTAGCAAAATAATCACAGATTTATTTTAAGCAATTTAAAATGCCTTCTGGAATTGAAAATATTAAATTGAGCCAGACGAACTGTCAGAGCAGGTCGGATGGTAAAATTTCCTATTTTCATATTGTTACTTTCCGGGCCGGCAGCTGAAACCAACTAGATTTGTAGCTGCATCATTGATTAAATTTTGGCACGTGATATCTACCTATCATCTATTCCCACTGCAACTGTAGGAATATGTACAAAGTAATTCTGTATTCCGATATTACTACAACAGTTTTTAGTTTTATGGTATTTCTATAATGTATTTATACGTAAAATGACAAACCAAAATAATAACATATTGAAAACAAAATTTAGCTTAATATAACAAAAACGTAGCACTTACGTATACAGTGAAAATATATATGCAATCAATTGTCAGTCATTACTTAAGTCCAAAAATCATCTAAAACTCATGAAACGCCATAAAAGCTTCGCACGATGTAACACATTGAAGGTCTATATGGTAACACGTAAAAAGTAACAACAAAATATGTCTACATTTACTGGTCTCTCTCTATGTTGAGTTGGTCTCTCTCTCTCGGTCCTCTTTATGTTGTAATACGTTTTTATTACACTCGTATCTCTTTAAATATAACCATACAATACGTGAAGCTGTCTGCAGTGTCTGTAAATATATATGTATAAGAACTGTGAAATTTTCTGAATTTACCAGCTGTGCAGATATGAAAATACCTTCAGGGCACTGAGTTATTACGCTCGGCGGCATGCCGTATGGAAGTTGGCTAATATGAGACATTGCTTTTAGTTCTGTTGGTAAATGAACTAACTAATATTCAGAAATAGCACTGATGAGTTGGTTCTTTTATAATATCTTCCTAACTATAGTATAGTTAGGAAGATATTATAAAAGATTTGAATATTCTAAATATATGTAGTTCTTTATTCAAATTGTTTGTTGAAAATAAAATGTGTTGTCATCTTATTACACTTTTCAAAATGAATAATATTGAATAGTGAATTACCGAATATGAAATGTTTGACATTTTGTTTGTTGCAGAATTAAAACAATACTGTATTAACAGAAAATTACATTTTGTTGTAACTAAACTTTAAAATTAAAACTTTAGAAGTAGGTTTCCCAAAACTTGTAATTTTTATTAATTTATGAATACAAATATTTCTATCAGATAAAACCAACATTCATTTTAATAATAATTCATAAATGGTAATAATGCCTTGAAATTCTCGAATGTTCAATTTCTCTGAATCAATGATTGTTGATTTCAATAGACTGAACGAAAAATATGATATGCATTTATGAAACATTGATATATATTTTATTGGATCCATTTATTGCTATCATTATTATTCTATACGCGATTGCTTTTTACCCACCGCTTGGATCGGGTGGAAATCTGATCTCAAGGGAAATGAAATGAATTTAAACATATATATATATATATATCTATTTGGATACTTTCCTAATGTTTAATGAGTGCTTTATATAATTTATTTATCATATCTAATCAGCAACAACAATCTATTGCGTAATTACAGATTTATGCTTGAAGAAGTAAACAGATTATCGTGCCTTTTGATATTTTAATAAATCAAATAACATTGACAGGCTGTAGAGAAAGGGCAGTAAATTTTCCTCGTCTAGACCGACTAGTTCAGCGATTTGTATAGCAATCTATATTTAATGAATCTAAAATACTAGGTGGTGGTCTCTAATAAATCGTAGGCCGCCTACGTGACGGGTTATACGTCCAAAAACTGTATATGGAAGTGCAGTAGTTCACTGATCGCACTTTATCAAATGCTGGACATTTCCAGCATTGCAGAGTAAGCGTCTTAAAAAATTAATGGTTTATTATCAAGGAAACTAGATGAATTATAGATTATTTTATCTCAAGTTTACGATATTTCACTTCAAAGCCCTATTAATTATAATTGTAAGTGACTGTAAGTCGAGTTACCCGTGCGGATCAAGTTGTTGCCCGTCAAATATTAATTTACCTACCTAGTATCTTCGGTTTACGAAAATCCAATTACCAAGTTATCTTTGGATGATATTTAATCGATTGAGCGACCCATTAACTTTGTAAATTTTCAGATACTGTTACTGTTATTTAATGATAGCATTCTTGTTTGATATCAATTATTTAGATTAAAATTATAAAGAATTACTGACTACAGAAGCTTTGTAACGTAAATCCTCCTTCACACCGTCCAAGGTATTGTGGATTTTTTTTTATGTTAGATTTAGGACACTGAAACAAAATCATCGCATTTTTAATGCAGCAATTTTTAAAATATATAGGTTTTTGTGTGAACCGTCCAGGTTAAAAATACATATTCTAACAGTTAATAATACATTTTTTGCATGCAATTTATTTTAATCCATATTAATATAGCTTGTTTTTATATCAGGTGTAAGAATGCTGGATGGAGACGTGACAGATGCAGTGGAAGCTCGCTCTCTAAGTCTTAACCCCCAGCATGTTGACATCTACAGTGCTTCATGGGGACCAGATGATGATGGCAAGACAGTAGACGGTCCTGGGGAATTAGCCACTAGAGCATTTATTGAAGGTGTGACAAAGGTACGTGAGTTTATAAAGGGGTTTTAGTATCTCCATTAAGCAAGGATACTGTTGCCTTGATTTTTCTCGAAATTTTGGGCAAAATATCCCAAAAATTTAGATTTTGAGAACAACAATATCTATCTTAATGAAATACCGTAAACACTGCCATGTTAGTCTTGAAAGATACTTGCATACTTGCATTTAGAATTTAGATGAGAATAGTCATCGCTATATTTTCTTGTCACGTTGACAAATTCGTGTCAAAGTATTATATTTAATTCAATTATAGCGAAAGCAAAATGGCGTTCTGTATAATCAACTAATATATAAGTATATATGATATTCGAGTCAGAAGTTGATTCTGAACAAACTACTGGGAGGCGTTAATTCTGTTATATGTTGTATACAAAGTTTTAGGGGTGTAATTGCAGTCCTTTGAAGTAGACCGTTTGCAGTTGTTTAGAAACAGGGACACAAAAATAATATAATTAAAACTCTGTAACTCTGAGAGTATAAATAATAAACCAAATTAAGTACATTTTGATAATAGAAATGTGAACTTATGAAATGTATGTATAATATGTATAATAGTACTTATTATACATACATTTCATAAGTTATATGTACATTATTTTATCTTTGGCTGGGTGTTAGTTATCATTATCTTCTATTTTTATTCTATACCATAATAACAAAGAAGGTGCCTATTTTTATACTAAATATGCTAAGTATGTTATTTAGTATTACAGAAGGACCATTTCAAAGGATGTCCTGTAAAGTCTATAATTACCTTAAATTTTGGAACATACCACAACAGATGTGTACGGAATGCGTAGGTGTATGGAACACCTGCACTGGGAGTTTTAGAATTAAAAGCAAGATACATATTCAAATAACTAACAAGACTGATCCTTATATATTACATAAAATCCTTTTATATCCCCTAAGTATTATAACTATACGAAATTGCAAATGTTAATCCAACCCAGGGAAAAGACTCATACAAATATATTCTTTTTATTTAGCATATAAACGAGAATGCGAATATCATTTAAAAATATATGAAAGTCTGACTGTGCGGTCATGGTACATAAAGTCCAATATACAACAGCAGCTGCATTAAATTCGCAAGTTTAATTTGTCCTATTCCTGTCCCCAACGAAATTTCGTCTTTGTTTATTGGACACTAAGATCGTTTTTAGTTTATAAATAAAGGCCGATTTTATAACTAAGTTAGTGAAGGGTGCACATGGCAGCTAGCGAGGCGACACTTCGCTCCGGTAATTTCTGTAATGGTGCAATTACTTTCTCTCTATTTTCTGCACTATATGGTCAAGCGTTCGGCGGCCGTAAAATTTACATAACGTCGTATGCCTTTTCAGCTAAATAGAGTTTACTTTACTGTTCATTTAGCGAATGAAATTTTATTGGCTTCTTGTACGTTGGATTTTTTAATGTTTTTATGTAGGTTTTCGAATATAATAAAATTTTTGAAATAATTGACCGCGATTATAAAACGTTTCTGGTAAGAGTTTTTATAGATAATTACTATTGTAAGCGCAACTCCCGTCAAGTGTAGTTACTACTTAACAGTTATAAGTCGAAGCATTTTGAAATGCATCGATTGAGTTAAATTTTAGTATCTTATATAGAATTGATTCCATATAACATACTAAAACTTAAAAACTTAACATGAAAAAGATATTCATAGCTTACTCATCCTGTCGAAATGTGCAATGTATAAGAAATTCAAGAGTAAATTTCTTACTATTTGCTTTTGTACTGAAAAACGCTATTATGAAATATGACTTAATGGAACTAGTTGACCTGCGTAACTTCGTCTGCGTCACATTTTTCCCGTTTTGGCAACAAATTTTATTGCAGCTCCTCTCTTATTTGTTCCTATCGTGATACTATATGGTAAATGGGCTATCCAACTATTTTTAAAATCAGTTTAGATTCCGAATGAATGGAGGCCTGACATATGGTCTAATTGTATCGGCTCGACTAAAAAATCGTACCTGCGTATGCAGTTTCTTTCGGTCCGTGTCTGTAATATGAATCTAGATGGAGCAGGAAAGGTACATAATAGCGGATCCCACTACGGATATATCTTGTTCTATAAAGAAGGATAAAAGTAGAGTACTTGCCTTTAAGACTGGAAAATATTTTATTTCCGCTTTTTTTTAACTCGAAATAAGTACGGTCACACATTCGGTTCGTCGTACTATTCTCCTATGCGAGTCCTGTCTGATTGGCGAATTTGATTGCTACGATCCGCCCATTTTGGAAATGCGCTAATCGGGAACATAGTTGTATACATCAATCGTCCTGACTCGAATAATGTGTGACTGCACAAATATAATTACACACTAAGTAATCTATTTTTTATAATATTAGATCAACAGTAATATTTAACGTAAGACATTTTATATAATGATTGTGAGATTTTATGTAATCTGAAGGGTAAAAAGGATCGTAAACGTTATAATAATAGTATCTTAATAATTTCAAACATTTTGTAAATTTGTCTGACGACGGTAAGACTTAGCAAATTAATGGCACACGTGGGAGTGGAGACGTACACGCTGCTGCAAAACGACACAACCGTTTACCGAAATATGCAAATTTTGTTAATTTAATTTTAGAAAGTTGTGTCCAAATTTATTCCTGTATATTCATCGTTTAACTCATGATTGTAATGTACAAATAGAGTCGGTTTGTCTAATTTATATAATACACGCTGTTATCTGCATTATTTTTAACAATTTTGTAGGTTTATTTGTTTGTTTATTAGTCGCTACCTCAAATCTTCAACTAATTTTACATGTAAATATTAGGTTTAGAGAATAACACTTTTATACTCTAATATATATATCACAGGTCCCTTACGGTAGATTTGACCTAGCCTAAGACTTTGTTATAGATAGATAGATTATATTCCCGAAAATATTACAGTAGTTTTTTTTACTTTTTGACTAAGAAAAACTATTATATCAACATGCAAATAATATATTCTATATCCATAATAGGGTCGTAACGGCAAAGGGTCCATATTTGTTTGGGCATCGGGAAATGGAGGCCGCGAACATGACAACTGCAATTGCGACGGGTATACCAATTCAATTTGGACGCTGTCCATCTCTTCGGCGACTGAGCGAGGCGAGGTGCCCTGGTACTCCGAGATGTGTAGTTCCACTTTAGCTGCCACGTACAGCAGCGGTGCTATCAATGAGAAACAGGTAACATTTTCGTTCATATTCTACTAATATAACCTATACAAATTCTCTCTAAACATATTAGAGATAAGGATACTATATTTCTATAAATGACGGCCTCGGTGGTCTAGCGTACTGTATAGCACATCGCCATACTTCCGATGGTCGCGGGTTCTATTCCTCGCGTGACACATATATTTATATTCTTGAGTATAAATAATTCTTTGTATCGATCCAGGTGTTTTCTAGATATAGGTATTGTGTATGTATTTACAAACATAGATGGATAAATTCTTTATTCACAAATTACATACACATAGCCTATTAATGCACAGTAAAAATAAATATAGAAATAGAAGAAGTGGGTTAGCTTTATATGTCGCAATGGTGATTAAACGGAACGGGTAATAAACTCAGCATAAAGCTAGCACAGATAAACCTACAGCGCTGATATTCTGTTGGCTGCTATACTTAAAAAAGTGTGTTGTATAGATCCTACATCTATAATAATAGAATAAAAAATATTTACTACGTTTTTTATGAGGATACCAAATAAAAAAAATATTCAATACATTCTACGGAATACTTTAAATTAAAAAAATATTTTCACCGTTTTTTAATTCGCTTCACATAAGGGCAAGTGGGTAAGGAAGCATGAGGACTTAGTACTACTTACCATGACACAGTCAATGAGTTTGATTCCACTTACGTAAAAAAATAGGTTGTATCTACTTATAGTTTATAAAATAGAACGGTCACTCTTATCTGTTATAGTTCAATATAATGACATCTTTGCCTTTATTTGATTCCTGAAAGGACCGACCTACAAAAGAAAGTTGGCAACTTTTGGGTCAAACAAAATTTGATACATCAACTTTAGCGAGATCCTTTTTGAATGAAAATGAGGCATATCTTGATAGATATGCATGATTTTCATTCTAAAAGAAGTTGCCAGCTTTTTACTTTATTGATATTATATTTTATAAGACTTGGCAACTTAAATAATACTCTCATATATGTATATATTTTTCTTAACGGTTATTTTATGTATTAGATAGAGTAGTCGGGTAAAGATAACGATGATAATAATTTATTTTAAAGTGTATTTTTCAATTGGTGTTTACTAAAGTTGCGTAACTTTATTGAAAGTTTATACTCGTAGATGTTGTAAGAGCAAAAAATAATGTCTACTATTCACTTGCCATCAGGTAGTCAGTTTGTTTGCCATTTTACATAAAAAAATATCGTAAAATATTAGTATTACTTTTTAACTAACATCTTAGTAAGGTGCATTGCTAATTTTTTAGAAGGAATCAATACAGTGTCAATTTTTTTACCAGGTAATAACTACGGACTTACGACATTCGTGTACCGCGGGACACACGGGTACTTCGGCGTCTGCACCTCTCGCGGCTGGTATCTGTGCTCTAGCACTACAAGCAAACAGAGACCTAACATGGAGGGACATGCAGCATATTGGTATGTTATATTCTCCTTAGTGACGTCAACTTCATCATCATTCGATGATAGAGGTCTAAATCCTCCACTAAAGTTATTATTCGAATGCCCTAAATTAACAAGTTCTGTCGCAACGCTTCATAATCTACTACATCTTATGATATGATATTAAAAATAATTTGTTATATAATTATAAAAAATAACAAGTATTACCAGATGTAAATTATTACACTAAAGAAATAATTAAATTCTATAATTACTCGTATATTGTTTCTTTAGTGTGATATAGTAATTTACATTCTTATTCACACTTGTTACTTCGTAGTGTATTATAATACAACATTGTGTACTACAGTACAATTTTATGTTGTATTATAATACACTAAGAAGTAACATGCCTATAATTTTCTTTTGGAATATTGAACCTTAGAGATCTTAATTATTCAAACAATTCAAACAATAGTTCTAAAAATACAATGTTTTATAAATAAAGAAGGAATACGATATTTTACTATTGAAATTAATGATATTATTTATTATTAATCTTCAGTACTAGGAAATAGTACTTATAAATATATACTCGCAAAATACACATATAAATAGTGAAATCCTGTGTCATGTCATATATGATACTCCCTAATTATAATCAGATTGTTCAGAACAAATACAAAACATACTTCTGATATTATTACCTATATATTTTGGGATAATAAGAAAAATAAGATAATGGCGGCTAAGTACATACTCGTAAAAAAGGTGAATTTGCGAAGTAAGAAAAGTTTCATTACTTCGTCCTACTATATGTTGTGTTATGAGATTACTTTCATGTCTCTTTAGAACACAAATACATTAGTTATTTGACCATTTATTCTATATTACACTATGAAAAATACAAACTTATATGCCTCCTCAAAATTGTGAAACACCTAACTAATAAAAGATAATATTTTGTATAAGCATCATTGCTTATCCGTAAACATAATATCACAGAATGTATAAACTATTACGCCTATTTGCTGAACCAGTTTAGTACAGTGGATGCTACCAGTCCTTCAATGATTAATTTATACAGGGTGTATTGTTCTGACTGAATACAGGTCTACAAAATTTGTATCGTAAATATTAATTATCTTTAAAGCAGAATGTCAGTATATTACTAAATAATTGCAGGACACCTACTTAAGTCAACTCTCATTTTCAGTGGTTAGAACAGCAAGACCCGAGCGCCTAAGTCTAGGAGGCGAGTGGAGAGTTAATGGAGTTGGTCGGAATGTGTCGCACTCTTTCGGCTATGGTCTACTTGATGCTGCAGGAATGGTCAGACTAGCCAGGACTTGGAGAACTGTCCCACCACAGAGGAGATGCGAATTGGCTGCACCTAGAGTACAGAGAACCGTGCCACCGAGGTCCACAGTTACTTTGCAGGTGAGCTACTTACACATTGCATACTTGATTAAACTGTGTCAATTTAGCCTAATATTGTTGTTAATATCTTATTTTGGTGTATGTATCGTATTTATATTCATATAGATACTCCAATTTTATTTATATGTATTGATTAGTTAATCTTATGTACAAGTCTTACTAAGGTTATCGACTTAATTATGCTTCTATCCATGAAAATGTCAATCGTTAAATTATATATTTACTAGTATTCAACTATTTAATTATGTTATTTTCAATCTAGTTAATGCCTTCTATTGTATGAATTCATGATGGTGACAAAATGCCTTAATAAAGTTGAAATTGATTTGTTTTAGAAAATAGAAATTTTTGGTTTAAAAAATAAACATATAGGTAGTTTATAAAATTCATACTTAGCAATCTGATTTATTTAATATGTAATATTACTGGTACAGCTTGACGTCGCGTCATGTCCCGGCGTCAACTACCTAGAACATGTACAAGCAAGAGTGACACTATCGGCGTCACGTCGTGGAGATCTGCGTATCACGTTGTCTTCGCCAGCGGGCACTAATGTCACCCTACTCGCACCAAGGTAAATAATATATACTATACCATCATGACTGTTGTGTCATCTAGCGAGAGCTTAAATTAATTAAAAAGTAAACCTTATAAATTGCAAAAGCAAAAATTCGGTATTATGATTCTGCAATTTATAAGGTTTACTTTTTAATTAGTTTAAGACTAATTCCCTCGTTAATTTGAAGTACTTTATTTTCCGGAATAAAGTCTTATTATTATGCCCAAGACATAATGAATACAGAAAAAAAAACGTTAACTTTAGAATCTTTTTCTTTTAAAATAAACATTCTAAAGTACCTTAGATTCGTTGTCATTACTGGTCGGTAGGAAATTTATGCAATTACGTAATCATTACGAAAACAAACTAAATAGTTCTAGCAAACCATGATTTCAAAATAAAAGCCTAAAGAATGTAATTACTGTGACTAAATGAAATGTCAGTACATAAAATAATAACTCCTTTTAAAAATAAATAAAGGCCCTGTTCTGTGCTGTGATAAAATGGCAATTTTTTCTCGGTAAACTCTTTAGTGTCTCGAGAAAATAAATATAAATTTTATTAGAACCAGTGTTTCTGAGGCGTCATTCCTTTAGTGGCGGTATTTTAATATCTCACTTAAAATGTCTTGTCTTACGACCGAAAGATTGTTTCAATCTATTATATATATACATACAATAGGAATTTCTTAAAATTATTTTATTTATTTATACAAATTATTGGTTACTGTACATGTTGTACAGTAACATGTACATGCAGTATGCATGTAGTCACTCTACATTATTATAAATTTATTCTAATAAGATAGTCTGTATCCTCATAAAAAGGAAAAATAATAGAGTAAATAAACGTTATCAATGATAATTCAATTCAAATGAAAACTCTTTATTTTTCCCTTCACAGAAAATATGTTACATACTAATTTTAAAAAATCATATTATAACATTGAGCAAAAAAGTTACTTATCGTTAAAAAGCAATGTGACCCAGTCAACCTTAAGATAGAGATCAGTGATTAGATTTACTTCTGGTCGAGGTGTAACAATTATATAATGTGAATTGATGTTAATATAGGTATATATACAAAATACATATTGGTAGATATGTTTATACTAACTCAATTACACAAAAGTTAATTTGTAACACAAACAACTTAAATGTAATTGGAGTTAATTTTCCGGCAGAGCTCACGACTCCTCGCGGTCGGGTTTCACCTCGTGGCCATTTATGTCTGTGCACATGTGGGGCGAGTCGCCTCTGGGCATCTGGCAACTCGAGGTTTCCAACGAAGGACGCTATTTAGGTAAGACCATGTTTACATATAATAAAATAGCATAATCGTGATTAGGCGAAAATTGATAATTTGTATGTATCGGCTGAAGTAATAAAAAATATATTTTACAGAATATGTTATACGCTAGTCAATTTTAGTTAGTTTTACTATCAAAATGATAGATGGTGTTGTATTAAAGCTCTACGTATTTTTTGTCATTTAAATTACTAGCGTTTAGAAATATATACGAGGACGATATCACGACCACCTCTAGTCGATTCGATTCGATTGTCTAGCGGTATAGCACAGCGGTTTACATCCGATGGTCGCGAATTGGATTCTCGGATGATACAAATGTTTGTCTTTATGTGTATGGTTGTTTGTGTTTGGGTATTTTATGTATACACTACATATAGTAGATATATATACTTAAATACAATTTTCTTTGTAAATACATATATTTAGTTGTTGGGTTGGTTGGTTACCATAGTGCAAGCCCTTAGTAATCTGGGATCATATGGCGCTGTGTAAATTTTATTGGTTATTATGTATTTAAATATATCGCAATACTTGAATATTTTTTTTTTTGTTAATACATATATAATATAAATAGAAAGAACCCAGACTGACTAACATATATTTTCAAGAATATAAATGTTATTGCTGTGGTCAGATTGAAGCATGATCTCGGAAAATAAAGAGGGTTTAAATTACTATGCCGTTAGTATATATGTAACACTATTTCTTTCGAATAAATTAAATATTATACTTAAAGTCAGACGCAAATTTAGTAATATATCTATAGTAGGTAGTTCAGATTCCATTTTGTGTTAAATGGAACTACCTTTCAGTAAGTTTAAAGGTTTCATTAAGAAACACTTGCCAAGTTAAAGCTTTATGTGGCTTAGAACTAAGTAACTAAATTATTACTTAGAAAACAAACCTGGTTGGCTTTAGTTGTCATGGGATTTAAAATATATGTACATAGTTATATATTATTAATAGTTTATATTGGGAAAAGTCGATTATTATTTTGATTTCAATAATGTCACATCACACTGTTATCGCAAGTGCTAAAAAGACTACTGTAGCCATGCTTCTACAAGAATAACCGACTATGTCATTTAATAGTTATTTAATATCACATTATAATATAATGTGGTAATAAGTACACACTAGTTATGTAAGACTTTTAGAGCAAATATTCATATATGAATATAAATCAGGGAATGATGTAGGTTGGGCACGCTGCAGTAGAATTGTAGAGAATACATTATTATAATGAATTTATGATATCCGACTTTCATTTTAAAGGCTTTTTTTATAGACGAGGGAGATTGCTATATTTTTGTCTCCCATGAAATACTGTAACATATAGTATTATAGGCAGTGATATAACTATACCATCCAAGACACGCGGCAAATTCAACAGATAGAGCTATTTCTTTGTCTAAAAAAGATTAACATTGTAGTTTTCTAAATTGATCAAACGGAGTTGGAGTGTTATAAAGTGTATTTCAGGCGAAAGATGAGATATGGTGTAAAATTACAACATACTATTGCACAACTTCAGTTCTGAATAGCAAGACACACTGTCCATGTATATAGGTGACATTTATTATTACCGTTAGTATGCTTGCCATTTTAATTACATAAAACTTGTAAATAAACATACACATGTAAGTTTGTGTTTTATCTACAAGTACACAGCTAACATAAATGTATATTTTTTCATCCGTGGACAACTCTCCCTCATGTTTGTACCGTGAGACAACCATAATAGCTAACTTACTAATTTTACTCAGATATGTGTACCTACAACCGTTTAAAAACTCTTTTATATAATGTATAATTCGTAGTACAAATACGTGTCTTAATCTTGTATTGTTTGTAGGGAACTTCCAAGTTATTGACTATGAATACATCTCAATAAGATTCATGATTCATTAGAGTATTACCATTCTGCCAATTAGTCCTTTCATAGATAAATTGCCTCAATCTGTTGAGCTATTGAGCACTGGGGGACCGAGTATATAATACCTCAATACTTGAATTTCGCAGCCTTCCGTTTACTAATTATTATCGAAAATGTTTATGTCATATATAGAATGTAGATGTGGTAGCTAATGGTTAATGGATCCTTAATTGGGTAATGAGGTAATTTAATATAAATTGGATGTGCCCCTCTATAGAATTAAGCATATTATGAAGTAATGTCGTTCGTCTAACTTCTAATATTTCTTAATCTGTTTTTATCTGATAATAAAAAGCGAATAATATAACGAAATTTATTTAAGTATGCAACGAAAAGAGCTATTTATATTGTATTGAATTTCGACACCATAGGTCGGGCAACATTGCAAGATTGGTCTTTAACATTGTACGGAACTAGTACACCGGCTGCTAAAAACGACCCAATACCGTTCCGAAATCCGATTACACGGAACAAGAGTAACGCAACGCGACCCGTAATGGTGCAAGCTGGCCGTAAAAATAAGGGAAAAGCGGTCTCGATTGTGCCTACGTACACTGTCGGATTGGTGAAAAGGAAGAAGAATAAGAATTCCAAAAATCCGAATAGAAATTCGCAGAAATCTAAACAGGGTAGACCCGCGACACGCTCGCCTATCGAGAGTACAACGAGAGTGACAACATCATCGGCCCCGGATTTGAGCCTCAATTTGCGAGGGGACTTAACAGATCCCCTGGCAGATGTCAGGGGGCGAAAGATGTCTAGTCTCTTCGAGCAATACCCGAAAATCCAGCGGATATACCCGGCCCCGCTTCGAGCCAACGGTACTACCAATGCATGTGTTGTATCCGTTGATTCGTTTTGTCGAGAGCGTTTTATTTGGCCGCCTAGTTTGCGCCTGCACGTCAATTACCTTTGTTCCAGAGTCCGCCGTTCTTTGCATGTGTTGTGTTTGCATTGTTAAAATTGTATCTCGTAGTAGCGCAAATTTATTTTGTAGAAAGTGTTTCGTTTTGAATTTAATTTGTTCAGTTGAGTAATTAACATGTAACAGGCAGGGACCATAACTTTATTCCTAATTTTTTTAATTTTGTTAAACCGCTTTATAATCTAGTGACATCACTTATTTATTATAGTTTTTTTTTTGCACAATGCGCTATATAACCTTCATTGTTTCAGTTCTGCAATTACGTTTTTAATACTGAATTGTTATTTTTAATTTGCTTGGCGTAAATATTTCATTCTTGTTTTTATACTTAAAAATTAAATAACTTATATACAATTTACTACACTCTTTGTAAATTCATGTAATAATCCATTACATAATATCTACTACCATTTTAGGGATGTTTTTTAATCACTGCTTTTATTCAGTAGCAGGTCCACTGACACAATGGGAACTCATATTCTACGGAACAGAATCCCCGGCGCAGGAGTTTGATGCATCATCGGAGACCAATTCTATAGGAACTAACGCAGGACCACCGGTCACCGCTTGGAGCAGATCCAACGATATTGATGAAGACATCGCTTTAGTGTGGCACGATTCTCACGTGGTATGTTGATTTTATATTTTATATCCTACTGCTAAGATATGAATGCTTTTTAGTAATTATATATACGAGTAGGGATATATGTCAATTAACTCAATCTATACATGATTAGATAGAATATTGGAAATTTTTCGTACATTCATATTACTTGACTTTTTAGCGCTCAGTTCCCCTCATTAACCACTCATAGTTTATGTTAAGACCCTGAACTAGGACCTAAAACTAGTTTTCACCTAGTTATCAAGAAATGTGAGTAATTTTATTCAAATAGAATGTTAAAAGAAAATATATGTGGTCTTGGTTAGGGGGCTAGGGGAGGATCAGAAATAATACAATTTCTGATATTCCTATCACCCACCTAACGGTACACGTTATATACGTTTCCTAAAAAGCTTTAGACATTCAAACGCGTAGTAGTAAGTTTATCAAATTTCGCTATTGATACTAGGCAACATAAATATCATTTTAAATAAATAAATAAAATTTAAATAGAAATCAGAGATCAACATAAAGGTAGGTATTCATTAGTACAAATGTTTAATTGTCTTAAAATAATGATGTGGTTCATTATGTGCTACAGACGGCCCTCCATGCTTAAGCTGCTTTGAGGCCGAAGAATAGGTCGCCCACGTAAATCTGGATCATAAACAACATGTATATTTACTTTAACAAGAAATCTTCACACTATTTTAAACACTAGCTGTTACCCGCGACATCTTTTATTTTTTTAGGTAATATATAGCCTATATCAGTTCTCTTGATAATATTTACATTTTAAATTAAAAAAAATATTTTTGTTTAATTTAAAAAAGCCGTTTAGTCTTGTAAAGGTTACAAACGAACAACACACTTTTGCATTTATATATTATAAATGCAAAAGTGTGTTGTTCGGTGCCTGCGATTTCGTCTGCATGAAATTTCATACCCTGTTTCGTCACGTTCTAGTTTCTTTTTTAACTTATATATAACTATATAGCCTATACAGTGTTATGGTCCAATCTATCTGAACGATACATTTCGGGAAGATGCTATCAACTGTTTAATAGTAAAAGGAGTAACAAACAGATAACAAACTCTCGCAGTTTTAGTAATAGTATGGACTGTTTTTAACAATGAGCAATCAATCGCGCCGTGATCGCTAATTGCCAATTTATATGTAATCAGCCCTGTGGACGTATTGTACAATGATACCTACCTAGCAGATTGACAAATAGATCGGTAGAGCTCATGCAACCTCATGGGAAATCTGTGGCCGCCGAATTTAATGAGAACGCAGAATAAGGATAAGACAGAAAATAATGAAATTTTCACAAGACTTAATGTTTGAAACATATTTCACATCTTGTGACTGAAAGTCTTGTATAAAAGTATAGGTAGTTGATTTAAGATAACCTCCGTCCTGAGAATTTCATAGAGGTAATATTAAATTTAGAAAGAGATTCTTTTAGGAACATTTTTATAAATAAAACTAGGGGTAAATTGCGTGTTAGCTTCCAAAAATAGTTAAATAAATTTCAATGTAACAATCAGTACCATTTTTGTTATATAAAAGATAAAAAAAATGTGGTCCTAAGTAACTTATACATTATATTCAAAATTATAAAAAAGATGATCACAAAATATAACTTAGTTTCCTGCTAATTCGTTTAATTTACAGTTTCGTACATTGTAATGTATATCTCCCATGGCATTATTGTAGTTCAAAAAATAATCTATGATTGACTGTTAGCCCGTACAGTTTCCAGGCAAAATTAATATTAATGAAAAAATAATTTTAATGAAAATTAATATTCAATGGGAAACCTACAAAATATTTTTCTGTACTATAAATTACGCTAAATATTGTGTTTCTGGAGTTCAATTATTAAAGAATATTGGTAAATATATAAACAAGTTTTCACATAAATTTTATTAAATCATGATACAGTCAGTCAACTAAACCTTATTTATTGTTGTTTAAAGGTTTTTAAAAATGACAATATTATTTTTGACTGCTATACTCATATACATACTAGTTAGAAGCAAACTAAAATTATACCAGCTCAAAACTCTATATTAAGTGGTATGCACATTGCACACCGTGTAGGTATTATTGTTATGATGTCGCTTTGATGTCATCCAGGTAAACTCCTGTCGATATAATCGTCGACCTACGTACATGTATATCGAAGTATACATATATTTATACTATAATGTTCTTATATTGGATTTACAGTTTTAAATATCTGATGGCAAGGAATACTACCAACTCTATGCTAGCTAGAAGTAGTTAAGTACGTCAATAGCGGTAGATTAAAAAATGTAATGACTATTCAAAAGTGCTTCAATGTAAGTTTATTTGAATAAATGGTTTTCTATTCTATTCTAATGATAATAGCTATTATTATCATTCCAATAACCAAAACTCAAAACCAAGATTATATAAAATATCGCCTAAAGGTAATGTCAAAAAACAGTAAATATCATCTAACAACCCTATGTTTAAATAACAGTTCTTTTAATCGGTTACAATCTGACTCTGCCTGACGGATTGTGATAGACAGATACATATCCTTAGATAATGAGGTAAATAATCTTAACAGCACTCAGCTGTGACCACGGATGAATAATAACCGAGATTACCACTCATGACACTCCCGTATTGTGAGGAGAATTCGCCACGACATGATACATATCACCCTTAAGACGACGCGAAACGTTTTATCAAGCGGGTGTCTCAGTACGAGTCTATATAAAAAGGTTTTCATTACTTCAGTGTTCGTTTTTTTGTTACGAAAGTAGGGGATAATACTTTTTACGCATAATATTGTAACTTTCGCAAATATAGGCATCACTCGGCATCACTTCACGCGGAACTCGTTTTGAACGTGGCGTCTTTTGCTCGTATAACCAATTAACTCAAAGTAATAACTACCAAATATATAAAAATGTGGCTTTTCATAATTAAATCATAGATATTCTAATAATTCATATCTAAATCATACAATTTGATAGCCTATTTTTTCCGAGTCGAAAAATGTTATAGAATATTTGACAGTCTCGGTGGTCTAGTGGTTTAGTACACTGCTTTACTATGCGATAGTCGTGGGTTCGATTCCTCGCACGGTACAAACATTTGTATTCATGAGAATGATTGTTTGTATCGGTCTGGGCATTTTCTATGTATAATATATTTAGTTTACAAAAAAAAAATATATCCATGTATTTATATCAGTTGTCTAGTACCCATAACACAAACTGCTTAGCTTGGGACTAGATGACGCTGTGTGAATTGTCCTGAGATATTATTATTATTTTTATTATATATTCCTTCGTAAAAGAGAGAGAAAGAAATTTCGGTAATCCTCTCTTAATATATTATGTACCGATAATAGTCCCAAAATATATCTAATTATGATTTATTTTATTTTACAGCTGACAATTATATAACAATATTGTCTAGTAGAAATGGGTTGTTATTTTTCAATTTACGACTCGTATAGGCAGACAAAGGTTGTCAGATCACATAGTCTGTTATTCAATAATATTACAATGAAAATATTCCAATGTATTTAGATAGGGAAGTAAATGTTTACTTGTTTTTTTATAGAATTATAAACATAGAGAAATCATTAGAGTCTTCTTTCTTTTTGGTTAGGTTAGGTTTAAGGTTTTAAGGATGACTATATGAAAGCAGTAAAGATAGTCATGTTTGATAGAAATGCATATACTCGCGAGAGAGGGGCGAGAGATTAATTTCATTTTTAATTTTTTAACCCAAGATTTTACATGACTTGGATAATTAAAAGAATTAATTTGTCTCTGCATTTTTTTTCTCTTCTTTCGGCTCCGGCGGTTATCTCTGGATTTGAAAATAATAAAAAATGCAAAGCGATGAGAGAAACTATATCTAAAGCATTAAAATAACTGTTCAGGTATCCCCATTTACTTCAGAATACTCATCAAAGGCTAATAATATGTATAATTAAGTACTGTAATATTTATATTAAGACTTTACACTTTGTACAATTTTATCACGTAATAATGCGAATTATGATATTCCGATTAGATCCATCGATTCCGTTGAAACAGGACACCACTCATTAGGATGTGGTATGATAAAGAAATCGTAATTGTAACTAAGCAATTTTGTATTTTATTCATTCAGTGTATTGTATTTAGCTACATATCTCGTTATTCGTCATTAATAAATTATATATTTCTTGTTCTTCAGTTTCCTGTTTAGATACAAACTTCGTAGATTTAACATGTAACGAGTATCTAATACATAGATTAAATATGTGAAATATAAAATAGAAATCTAATTAACAATTTAATATATACTTGTATACGTTTTGTTAGCTTTAGTAAATTTTATTTATAAAGTCTTCTCCACAGGTGTCTTATCTATCTTTACCGCCAAGTAGCTTGCTTTACAAACTGAGTTTTGTGTTTGAGAGGCGATATACACTGAAAGAGATAGTAAAATTACAAGTTAGGCAAATGGGCATAGTATCTAAGTCTTCAAGAATGACTGTGCTTGATTCGTCACAATTAATATTTGTGATATTCGTATATATGTAGGCAATTACCATGTTCTATCAAATAAACTATTCCATCACTTAATTAGCTATTCTAATTACATAGAGAAATAATAAATATATTATAATTTAGGGTCCTGATGACAATACACCGGTGCCGGACGCCGTTTCCGGTCAAAAACACGCGAGCAGCGGCTGCGCGTCATACTCTACACCACCGCTGCATCGCTGCCTAGGTTTGTGCCTATTCCTCATCCTATTACTATCCCCCAGCATAAAATTCCCCTTTATAACTCAGCAAACCCGAGTCTTGTGCACAGAGAGAAAAGATTCTCAACATGCACAGGGCTCCAGCAATGTGTCCTGTGAAATTAAGCGCGACTGTGTACTAACTGCTAGTCTAAGTTTAGAGGTAAGAGGGCAAGATGTTAGACCACCTCGAGCGCCGTGCTTACATCGGATCGCAAAGGCGGTGCCCTAGTACCTACGACAATTCTAGTTATATCAAATTGTCAAAATTGTAAAAATAATGTTTACATGGATGTATGTTCAACGTTGTGTGTTTTCGGAGAGTGCAGTGTTTCTAATTTCTGAACAGGTTTAAACGTTTCTTTTTCACAGATATTGAATTAAATAGATAACTTCCGTTTATAAAACAAAAGATACAGCATAATAATATTGTACTATTTTCCATTAGTTATAATATACACCATAATTATTACTATCATAAGCATCATTTTACTGGTATATATTATATTCGAATAACTTTTTATGAGAGTAGTCTAAATCAGAGCGTTCCAAATTTATTTAAATTATCAATTTAATCCAATATCTGTGATGTGGTCATTTTTATTAATCTTTGTTCAGTTTTTAAACATTGTATTCAGTTAGTATACCAACCCGTTTGGATTTCTTTGTAGGTACCTAAATATATTAAAATCATTTAAATTATCATGAGGCATTATATATTATTATTGTCATTACGTACGAATGGAATGCATGATATTAATACATTACAGTGTAAAATATAACAATGTATAGTATTTGGATATTTAAACAATTTTGATATGAATGATATCGTTTACAAGAATTATGTTTTGTACTGGCCGGACTTGCGGCATGTGATTTTAGTTAAATATACCATGTTAAGAATAAGTACAAGCTGTTATTCTATATAATTTTACTTCATGGTTGCTATATTATTATGATATTTATATTAATTATTAGATAACATATATACTGATAAATCTCATAGCGATCTTATTTGAATATTTTTAATCGAATATTTTCCTAAATGTTTATATTTATTTCAACGCATTTTTGTCAATCAATATTTTCATTAGCAATGAAATGCATGCAGCTACTCAAAAAAATAGTTCAAAAGGACTTCGAAGTCTATTTTAAGCCATACTGTAAGACTTAATAAGTTGAATGATATTGAACACATAAGTGATTTTTTTTAATAAATTTATTAATTATAATATTGCTCGGTATTAGTTATGGTAGCTATGTCGAATATGTTGTTTTATATAGGTATATACTTTTTGTGAGCTACATACAACCAAAGGCTATTTGAACATAAAGTCTATTAATTTATTATCTTTTTAGAAACTCATATTTAGATGTAAATACCTATTGTATGGATTATTTCTAAAGACATACTGAAACATTTTTTTTTATACATTGTACGTTTAGTTTGAATACAAAATTGTATATGAAAATATTTTAGTATTTGCTGTGCATTAAATTCAGTGAATCTCTCGGTAACCTGTTTATTAATCGTTGTTTTATAAAATAATAATAAGTTTGCATATTCAAAACCAATCCAAGAACATTAAGATCGATTTTATTATCTATATCTATTTATATATAATAAATAAGTAACTTGTTAAATACAACAGTGCGTTGGCAAAAAATAATATCGAAGAGCTAGTGACCAAGTGCAATTAAATACTAAATTAATGTATATTTACGGTTTGAAGATAATAACGTCCATTTTGATCGAGTAATTGCAAATGTTAAATACGTACATACGGGTAGCTTGATGTCAGCATTGGTATTAGAAAGTAAAGTAATGCATTATATAAAGAGTGTAAAAAGGTGATTACCGGATTTAATTATGTATGTATAACAAAATATTAAAAGTATAAATTTCCGTCAAATAAAGCCCAGAAAATTACATGTACTTAATAGACTATATTCTAGTCAAAAGATTCACCTATTCACAATAAAAACATCAATATGTTGTTTGTTTCGCTGAACTTTTGACTTTTATAAGAGCTTTATGTATAAGTATATAATTAAAATTTTACTTTACATATTTTTTTATTGCAAACAATTAATGAGTTGGTATAGATTTTTAACATTAACTATATTTTAAATGCACAATGATACCAAAATATGTAAAAGCATTTAAGGGTATAATAACATATGTCGTTAAGTTATTAATTTATTTATTTTATTCCATGTATACAGACATAGATAGGACAATTATTTTAATTGTGAATTATGATTCTCATATTGATTTATGATGTAGTGGGCGTTCTGGCTATGTAATACAAATTAGATATTATTTGAAACATTTTTATAGTTTATTATGATATAAATTAAAGAAAGTAATAATTGCATAAAATTATTACGAAAACACATATCTGTTACAATAAGTTTCAAAATTATATTAATTTGTTAATTGTAGTTAGTTATTCAGAGACTTTTATATAAATAATAATAATAAGGAAATCTCGATTTGTTCTCATTCTATGTTTTCTAGCATTCAAGTGCAGAAAAAACTCAGTGATCAGTCAGCTCTAAGCAAGTAGCTTAGAGCTGGCAGTATAATTTAAACGATCTTGACAGTTCTATTTAAAAATATACGTAAATTAAATACATTTTAAGTTATTCTATAATATATTATGTATAAAAATAAACGAAAGTGACAAGATTTTAATACAGTTAGTATTAAAATTACAGAAAGAAAAGTTCCTTGTAATTTTAGTTTTTTCTAATAGAGGCTATTTATAACCTAAGTTGGAACTCAACTCACTGCTAAAGACTAGTGCCTATTTATAAAATTATACAGCTCCGGATTATAACAACGCATTTCATGAATAATTAATAAATATATTTAATGTTCATATATTTGAAATATACAAAAGATTCCTTTAAATTGAAATATTTATGTACGCTCCCATTTACTTACATATCCTAATACCTGAAACATCTGGCATAATGTTTGTAATATCCCAGACAAATATAATACCTACTGGTAATACGATATCTATTATTTGACAGCGTAATTAGGTAAATGTTGATGTTTAATTTATATATCATTAGTACTTTCACTATTTATATATGTAGGTATACATGATTTATATTCTTATAACATTTTTGTTGTACGAATACTTTCAGTTTTATATATAAAAAAAGGGTATGAAGATGTAAGCAAAAAAATATTTCTATTCTTTTTAAATAAGTTTCAGAAACCTCATTTTACTTTGATGAAACTTAAAAAATTCACACTTTATTTGATTTCAAAAAAGTTTTACATAATGTAGTGCAAGTTAGATTGAATGATGTAGGGGAGCAAGTATAATAATACAGAGAATATTGCAATGTTGTGATAGACGTGCCGTCTATAACATCACAAAATATTCAGTGTGGCGGGCATTAAAATAGCATATATTTTCCACATTTACTTCTAGCAAACATACAATTGAATAGACTACTATTTGCAATACGAAATTAAATCTAATATTTCCTAGACGACCTGGTGCCCGTATAACAATTATGTTTGTAAACCGTTAGAATAAAAGTAATAAAATGTTAATTTAATGAAAATCGCAGCAAAATAGCAAATCGGTTAAGCTTTTTCTGAGATTGGCGGACAGACAAATAGATAGAAATTCTGAAAATCATTGTTTTGAGTACTATGTATGTAGAAGTCTTCCAATAATAGTTTTCATCATACATCTTCCATATACAGATAATTCTGATACATTTTTATTATGTGTACAGTTGTTGTTACTGGCACTGAATGCTAACAATATAAAAAAATATTATTTTTATAAAAGTCTCTGTTTTTAAGTGTTTGTATAAACGAACTGTCTTCTAACTTACTAGTTATGAGGTTGTTAGGAAGCAATTCGCTTATTCGCATTCAGTTACGCCGATCTCACACTAGGTGGATGCGTCATTGATGTGCAATTGGATTGATGTGTCAAAGAGTGAAGGAACTACACCCATGTGACATCGGCGTTCCTGTCAGTTGTCAGATAGTACCGAAGGCTTTCGAACCGTCTGTTAAACATGAATAATGAAGATTCGGTAGATTATAGCAGCATGACTGTTGTACGCGTGACAGCTTTCAAATATTTTAAAATTAACGGATGCATAGAAAAATTTGATTAGAAAATTATATTCCAATTATAAATTTGAAATAAACTTATTATTCTAAAGTAATAAAGCAGTTATTGTGTTCTTATTTGTATATGTTTATAGAAACAGGATATTAAGCATTTTTATTGTTAATTATTATTTTAAACCAAATTAATGTCACGGTATTAGGGTTAAAGGAATCGCCTGTAGATGTGATAGTGTGTACGGTTATTGTAATAAAGAAATGCGTGTTGAATGTTCTATGCTATGGGATATATTCGGCAATAAGAATAAAATTGTATAGAAGACTGTTGACCGTGACAATGATGAGATTCAAACTGACTGTTGTCAAACTAGTCATGCTGTTATGATTGGGACGTGTAAAAGAGTCTACAGACGATGCGATTTAGCACACGATCAGTAAAGCCAATTGGAACCATCACTGCTAACTGACGTTCTATACATCAGGCGGGTTAATGTAGAGATCGCTCGACCAATTGACTTACTGGTAGGGTGTCAAATGGTGCCGTCAATAGACACTTTGAACCTAGATATATTCGACGTAAAATGTAGATATTAAAACAATTGCGTATTGTGGTTGTGATGATAGCAGAGATTGCCAATCCATCTAGAATAAACTACATATAAATATTTAATGTATATAATAAGTATGTATCGGTATAAGTATTTGGAAACTTGTACAAATTTGCTCAGAAACATGTAAATGAAAACGACTGAACGATCGTGATTTCTCATCGATTGATAGTTAACCTAAGTAATTGTATACTAATTAGGCAGCTTGGTATAACTTTCTAACTTGCATTTTGCATGTTCAAATTCGTAACTATTAATTTATAGTATAACCTTAGTACAGCAGGTTCCTCATAGCACGACTAGATACAACTCGACATTTAAGGAAGTCATATTGTCAGCGTCCGACTATAATTGTATTATTCTGCATAACTTGTCAAGATTTAAGGGATCATTGAAGCGCTTTTGAGCCTAATTGCGTTGTATCGGTATGAGCTAGGAGAAAACTAAAACGAATCTTAACTATCTTTCGATGCTATAGAAATCTATCATTTTTATAACATTTTGGTTGTATAAATGTAAAATTGTTCACCTACATTGGCATTAATTAGCAATCAATCAAATCGTATTGTAAATGTTTATGCATAATTTGTATATATGGAACCTGGTGTGACGGAAAATAATAATAAAAACAATCTTTTATTACAAAATTTATACAGATTTTTATTTTCATTGTATTATAATGTAATTATGAGTCTTGTCTCTGATATCAAACTATCGTTTTATAAACGTAGCAGTTAGTCGCAACTCGATTTGATATTGTTATTTTGTTTGTTTACACATGATTGTATTTCACTAGAGTAATTTAGTTTTTAGCTCTCATTGTTGCATGTTTGCTTAGCTTTTTACAGGCTTCCTCTAATGTTTATTTATTTGCTATTCACGCTTCACCACCTTTATAATTTAGTTCACACTTCTTGCACGAATAACTTCAATTAACTTTCATTAATTATCTTTTTAACGTAAAAATACACATAAACCCTCTCTGATTTCATTTAATTTTGAGCACGTTTTTCGTTTGTGCATGTCCTGTACTTATTGTTATATTTGTATTAGTTCACAAACAAAATTATTTGAGATCAGTGACAAGATTCTACGATCCTCCCCCGTAATTTCCTTTTCTTATACTTACTTCGAAATTTTCATAATGTACCTACATCGTGCGAGGCGTATCTGCATCATTTGGTCTGCTGGCAAGAGATCGTAAGCTGCATGGACTCAAAAAGGTGCTGGGTGGTGGCGGAGTTTCTCTTTGTTTATGTAATTAAACATCTTTGTTCTCTTTCTTTCACTAGAATGCGCGAAGGGTTTGCACTTGTACGACGGGCGGTGTTACAAGCATTGTCCGGCCGGTACATATGCCAGCGAAGTTCTAACTGAACGAAGCTCAAGAAGACGCAATCTTACTTACTTTTTTGAGGGCTCCACTGGTGCCAGTGTCATGAAACGTCAGGGCACTAACGCTCCAAAGCCAACTGCATTCGAGGCTTTAGATATGGAACCTGTGGCTAGTCCAGATACGTTTCCTTCAGTTTGTCTTCCGTGTCATTACACCTGCGCCACTTGTTCTGGTCCTCATGAGAATCAATGTACATCGTGCTCCGAAGACGCTCAAATTTACAACTTAACTGACGTTGAACTGAAGGTTTACTGCTATCCTAATACGATTGTACCACAGCTGTACAGTGCTAACTGGCACTATAGGCTGAATATTACTCTTTCCATTGTTCTTTTTATTATTAGTTTTATTTCTTTATACTTTTTAATTGCTTGTATTCTAAGAAAATACGGTTGTGGTTCTCACTACAATTCAAATATTAATGTAGCGTACGATAGACTATCAAATGACGATAAAAATCAAAGCGCTTTAGAAATTGAGGATGAGATTAAAAAAGCTCTTCACGAGTATACTGAAAGTGAATCAGAAGACGATTTGAATTTATAGCGATACTCGCAATTTGCTAGTTTTCGTCGTGAATATTACGAAATAGTCGATCAACATTATGTTAGCGATTAATAACGTTTATGAACACAAAATGCAGGGCCTAACATCGTGATATTATAGAATCGATTGTCACAATTCTAATAGATTTCGTTTGATAGTTATTTACTGTTGTAAGAAAAAGGAGTAGAAAAATGACTGCAAAATATTTTCGTACAAAACTCTCTTTTAGTTGATTTATTAGATTAGCACTCAATAATCCAAAGAGCTATTTTGTTTCAAATTCTAAGATATGTATAACCTAACAATCATAATGACTAATTTCCTTCGATATCTTGATAAAGTTATTTTGATTTATGCAAATCTTATATTTTTGAGGTTCTAATTATAAATTGATCTCCTTATTTCTTACAACTCTTTTTCAGAATGACATTCCATATGTATAGGTTTTAGATAAATAGGTTAATTTAGACTTTCTGGTAAGTATCAAGAATTGATAATTTTAAGAAAAAGATGGATGAGATGATGGATGAATTAACATGAAGACATTATAAATAATGCTTAATAATATAATTTACAGAGTTGCTCAATGTAAATCATTAATATGATTATTATTAACCAATTTATAACAAGAAAAGTAAGTAGTTGTAATAATATGATAAAGGATTTGAATGTAACATAACTTTGATCAGTACGTTAATAAATATATAAGGCTGTTACTTCTTTAAGCAGAGGGTCATTTGTTATGGAAGATGATGTAATTTATATGTCGCCAAGACGCTCTAGCATGAACAATAAATTCCTCCGTGATCTTAGTACATTCTTAATAAGGTAGATACTATTTCTCTGTTTACCTAAATTTTATCTCATTTTCATCCAAAGATATTTAAGTCATAATTGCAAAGAATACAATGACTAAGCTTTCAGCGGAGTAATATTAATTGATGGAAATTTATTTTTTTCTAAATGCGTAACTCTGGATTAGGTAATCTTAAAGAAATATATTATTAGGATGAATGATGAGAACACTCAGCTGTTTAATAACTTTTCAATATTCGAAGATTCCCGAGTGCCTTTATAATTACTTAATGATGCTACAATAATATGATTGAGAAATTTTCCATCTGACAACATTCCGTTTGGTGTGAAATTAAGAACGGTCTCGCCCTGGCTTGGTAAGATATACGGCTTTAGATCATCCCTGCAGATTGACTGGACTGCTGTTAAATATAAATTTTATCAATTTAATAATGGATATAATTAAAGAACATTTAAAATTACATTACATGTTCGAAAATATATTTCTTAGGCCATATAGGCAAAGTCAAAATTTTACTCTTCTAAAATAATTTCAACATATGTTTATGAATTTACATATTTTATATTCATATATATATGTAATTATGAGTATGAATAAATGAAAAATAGGTATAAATATTACGTAAGTACCTACATTGACTCAAGTTGCCATTAATTCGTTGTAAGTATATTCAACACAGATTGTATGATGTAAATATTTGTATGTAAATAAATGAGTTCCTATTTTGAATCAGTTTTTTATTCAAATGGTTATGTGCTTATTATAGAGGTATGTATCCACATACCTCACACATCCGTGTGTAATAATTTATTTATTATATTATAAATAAATTTGGGCTCTCTTTATCTTGGGTAACTCATGGGTTAAATCAGCACGTTGGTTCGATTTTTGAGTGATAGATTGATTTCTTGATTGATTCAATAAAATATATAACAACATAGCATATGCCAAATTAATGTCTTCAGTTTCTATTCACACATACTTAATTAGAAATCAAACAATCTTGTTTATCAACTCCCTCCATATTTTTAGTGTAATTGTGGATTAGTCTTGCCTGATTTACGGCCACTTTAGACTTTTCTGTCTTAAAATATCTATTAGTTTTCACAAAAGGCTCAATAGTATCGAAATTAGTCAAAAGACATATTACACTGTTGATCATGTTTGCGCGCCAAATAGTAAACACATGTTCCCATTGTCATATTTATAGTACAGTTCATTTTGAAAATATATAACATGTTTCCATAATTTTTTTGTTTCTGATTTTAGTTATTACATGTTTAGTAAAGGTAATAAAGTTATTTTTATGTACTTTAAACTAAGTATTTTTTTTCGTTATACAATATGTAAAATAAAAAACTAAAGTGATCAAATGTAACCAAAATTGATCAACTTTAAAAATATGTATTAAAATGACGTAAATATATTTTACTACCAAAAAAAAATATTTTAATAGAAAAAACGTTTAGAAATACGAATTTCATTAGTACCTATAGTATAAATGCATAGATTTTTGAAAAAAAAATATCAAAGGTAGTGTCCTAAAAATAGGACATTGGGGTTAAAAGAACAACACGTTTATTGCTCGTTCCTCTATTGATGAGACTGCTTTCTTAGTAATTGGTATAGTTTTAAAAAATAAGTGCTACCTTCTATTATATATAATGGAAATAAAAATAACTTTATTGAATTGAGTTAGATACTTAGTTAAAATATTCTATAATACAATTTCACTGTTTCATTCTATTTCCTGTGTCTATAGGTGTAAATCCCTACATTAAATAAATAAAAATTCTTGGCACAAGGTTATTAGGTACATATTACATCATTCATTTCTGAATAGAATTTAAAATATATTTCGAGGAACAAATGAGTAATTATATCTTATTCTCAGGTAAAGCAATATTTATGTTAATATAATATATTACACTCTAACGCAATTATTAAGCTGAATCTATTGAAATAAATGCGTTCGCGTGGAGCGATCAATAAAGCTAATGTATTGGGAAACGAAAGCCCTTCTTATGGGCATAAAGTTACTAGAAAGGCCATCAGTTCAGTCATTGAATACTACTTGATACTAACTTTAAAAAGGAATAGGTTCTCAATTATACTGTATGTTTTGTGTATATCTAACATTACATTACATTTTGTTTTACTTCTAATTCTTAACTACTTTTATATTAGTCTTATATGTCGTTAACAAATTGTAGTTAAGTTTGATTATGAATGACAACGGATCCCCAATATTTCTCCCTAAAAAAACACAATATATATTTTCAATTTACCGCACCTGGTGAGGCTGTTAGTAAGTAGGTATATATGTTAATATGTTCTTCTATAATAATTACTGAAGATTTGCTCGTACTAACAAATAATTTTTTGTACAGTACCCTGTTAGCTTATCTACATGACAGTTTGAAAATATCGTGTTAAATTTTCGCCATGGTGGATTCAGTTGCGGCGGTATCACCATCGTTAATAATAAACATCATGATATAGATGATGTTTATTATTTTCATTAATACCTACCGCTGACTACTGAGGTCATCGAATTTTAGACATTATTTCTTAGGTCATTTTTGGTTATCTTTTATATTTTTTTATTTCTTATTCACATTTTAGACATTAGTTAAGATTTAAGTTAATAAGGTAAAAATAATACACCTGAACAATTCACACAGCATCTAGTTCCAACCTAAGCAGAGCTTGTCTTCTGGGTCCTAAACAACTGGTAGAATTACTTAAATATATTTTTTACTGTAAATATATAGAAAATACTCAGGCCAATGCAAATAATCGTACTCATGATTACAAATGTTTGCGAGTTACTGTCCGTTCTAGAATCGTGTTTTAGCAAAGTTCCCCCGGTCCCCCATATTAATGTCACCTTCGAAACTCGGGATTCCTCTCAAAAATACCAATAATTACGAGGGGGAGAAAATATTTACTTTCTTGCTCCCCTAACGTATTCACTGTACAGTGTACAAAAAAAATATGTATGTAACTATAGTTAATGTACCAACTTATTGAAAGCAACAATACCTAAGTTATATATACCTATAAGACCAATCAAATATAGTTTTAAATTGATAATATCGTAGTATGAATACTATACCAAATGTCTCCTCCTCTTCCTTAATACGCCTCATCCTTAGCCCTGGGGAGGGGTGAGCGCGTAGACGGATGGACCATTCTTTAATCATTTATTATAAAAAAAGTCTATGTATACCTACTTACTGCATAATTAGTGTAGTCTATAATGACGTAATAATATTGACCTATAAATATTTCTATGTTTCTTTACGTGGAATATTGTAGACAAAACTTAAAATCGTTCTATATAATTTACCGGGAATAGAATAAAAAAATATCTAAAATTATTTCCTAGTATATTTTCCTATTTTCTTTTGTAGTCATTTGAATTATTTTAGTAATATTAGATATATTGTTTTTGTAAGATGAGGAAATGGAATAATTGATAAAATGTTAATTAAAGAATGTTTTTTTAAATATTACAGACCTTTATCAAATTAAATCACAATATCTTTATTCATATACCTATTCATGGCCGTAACCCGAACAAACCAGTTCCTACAAACAGTACCCATTTACGAGTATGACTGATGAGTTAGACATCATTGCTCTCAACCATATTTGAGGGAGCACCTTTGCAAACTTATGTCTATATGTGTATATAGTCGATAAAACCATGAGCATTATACAGGAAACACACACATTACGTGTTAACCTCATAGTTTGTCATTCCAAACTCATAAAATGTAATAGGTGAGTACCAGTAGTAACGTAGGTACATAGTAATTTTACTACCATAATTTATTACCTTTCAGACTAGAAAACATGTTGCAAGAAAGATGCTGACGCAGCTCGCCTCAGTTCAAAGTATTTTACCTAATATTTAGCAGATATCTGGGCTGAATGATTTCAATTATACCATGGAATCAGTACTTAGCCTACTTCAATAAATATTGGTATCTAGTCTCGATAACGTATGAAACTTTAAAATATTTGGAATTGTCCATAACATCACACGGCTAGGTAGTTAAATGTTTACATATGACATATGACTGTGTGTATAATTACCTGCAGTAATTATGTATTCAGTGTTATCAGTTGTAATGCGTCAAGTAACTGCATAACATGCGATAAATGAACACGCGCAACCTATGCGGGCGGCATAGTACACATAGGGAACATGTTAGTGCATGCATACTACTATCTCTTTTTTTGGGACTGGAATGGCAAACACAGATCCACCTAATGGTATGAAGCAACCGTCGCCTATACATACACAGAACTAGCTGCTCGTCCCGGTTTCGCACGAGTGTACATGTATTATTTATTATAAATAACGTATTTATTTGGATAAGGATTAACATCATGTTTATAAATAGAGCTTCGCAAATATTTATTGTTTTAGAAGAAATTTAATTACCAAAAAAAAGTTATAATGAGTTAACTTTAAAAGATAGATAGATTTATCAAAATTATTTGGAAAACTTTATTATGAAAACCGATGTAAGTTGTTACATCGGTTATACTAAAAAAAGGAGTTGACAATGTATGGACGATGTTTTTGCCACCCTGGTAGCTTAAAAAAAAATAAAAATTCAATACTTAAAAGATTTTTCGCCTATACCTTAGATAGATGTAAAAAATCACACAAATATTGAAACGTGGACTTTTTTAGGACTACTAAATGGGAACAATTCTGTCATACATATTTTATGCGTAACTTTAGCAGCAGAAGTACTCAAACTGAATAAGTTTGCCACATTTTTCATTGCTACTCCGCTCCTATTGGTCGTAGCGTAATGTTATAACCTATAGCACTCGGAGACAATTTCCAACAGTTAAAGATTTTTTAAAATCGGATGAGGACAACCGTAAGTAACCGTAAAGTACGAACATCACGTTATTTTGTAATGTCGGCGTTTTGTACTCCTAAGGCGTAATTTCACTGCCATATCTCATCCTTCAAATCAAAACACAGCG